GTTCATAATACTGTATCTGAGTTGGCTAGCTTAGCACAAGTTGGCACAACCATAACTTTCGTCAGCACAACGATATAAAGGGCACTTTACTCTTGAGCGTGGCCCTTCGCGCATGCACAATGTATAAGGAAAATATGCAAACAGACAAAGACATTATTAACGTAACGCACGAAACTTCACAGACAATTAATATTTCAAATATGAATGAAAAAAAAAATTATGAATATGACGCGATATTGAGTGACAAATCAGAAAATGATTACTCCGATCTAAATGTTGAACACAATTGGCGAAACAAAAACGAAAGAGGAACAACGATCAAAAGAACATATCTCCAATCATGACCCGATTTTATAGGAGTTTGCAAAAGAAAAAAGATTGATATCGCTCTCTTGCAAAATAGAAATCTTTGTGAATCACTAAAAGACGGAGAAGATAGGTTAATCGTTATAAACACATGCGGATTCGACAGTATTGTCCAATTATTTGCTACTGCATTCACACACATAACATTTTATGATACTAAAACGTCTCTATCTCCGCGTCGATCGGTTTTGCAGGATAGTGTCGATCGGTTTTTGGTCAGGATTCGGTACGAGAAATAAAATATCGTGTCTCTTGATATGTCTAGGTTTATATTTACAATGCCTGCCGACTGGCTGTTTTTATATGTACAGTATTTACAGGTATTTCGCCGTTGGTACGGCGAAAAGACGCGTGGTTTCTACGTATTATATACAATCGTTTGCTCGTGGTCGGTTCTCCGAATTTCGTCGCGTTCCTCGATAGGCGCGGCGCGGGCGCGACAGTGCGCGGGGATTTCGGTCGTCTTGTTTTGACGGATCAGCTGTGTGTAAGGCTATGACGGCTCGAATGCAAGAAGCTCCCTGCTTCTCGATCGTCAGAGGAATACGTGCACAAGGGCTTTCTTTGTGGAGCCCAGGTTGAGAAGCTCCTCAATCTGTGAATACTTGTGCGCTGGTGGATTTAGAGGAGCGATCGGCCAGAAGCTCCTGGCACGATAGGTAGCACCCTAGATCGCTTTTTCTGGAGAGGATTCGGAATATCGAGAGCAGTATCGGACTGGTTACTGTCTCGCCGGAGATAGGTCTCGTTTATCTCCCGGACTCGCTTAATATACCCGAGCCGGCCATCGGTCGGGAGTCGTCGGGAACAGATTGGCCGGACTCGGGTCGGGGTAGTTCCGGGGGATGTCTTTGTCGGAATCTCCGCGATAATTCGCCGAACGCGCTCGGGAATTCCGCGAGGATGTTCGGTGGCGCGGTCGGTAGCGGGGCCGGCGGTGGTGGCCTTACCGTGTGTCTATTGTTTCACGCGGCGCGCACGTGAAGCCGCGTGATCACCGGTTTGCCGCGTCCGCTGTTCGACGGGCTTTTCGCGACGGTGGGATCGCGGAAGGATCGCCGTGTCGGCGCCCCGACGGTTGATCGGTCGGGGACTTTTAATATTGTTAATAATTATTAGTAATTGAGGGGGGTGAGTCGGGTGTCGTTATAATACTATTGCAAATGCTACATCGGAAATATTTCAATTTATTATTAATTTTATAGACAAAGGACCCTGCACATCCATTTATAGACAACGCGCAACACTACTGCGTAAAATATTTTGTCAACAAAAATCAATGTAATGTCATAATAGATGTCAAATGTTTGTAACTTATGCAAACACTTTTTTAACGAAGAACAGAGTTGTACATTATCAAAGGAGTGTAATAACTGTAAAAAAATAACAGAAAGAAATCTGATTCTTTTCAATCTAGATTTTGAAATGATAAATTTACATGGCTATGACGCTATTACTCAAGCTGTACAAAAATATACAAACAATAATTATACAAAATGTAGACAATATGGAAAAGATGTTCAGTTAAAAGCAATATATCATTCACATTTATTAATTGAATGTATTGGAGACGCAAATGTAAAAATAGCGTTAAAAGA